GTCCTCAGCAGCAGGTCCTCAAGTGCTTGTACCCATGTGACCTCTCTACCAAGCTCATCAGTGGGAGAGGGGGTTACAGGTCAGAGCGTCATGCTGATTGGCTCGCACTTGCCCTTGTTCAGATTTCATTTGGGTACATGTTGCCCAGTCTGGTTGGAAGCAGGTCCCCATCAAAGGGTCATATCTCTGCATGAGCCCCTCTCTGCCTTACTCAGTTTCCTGTCCCACAGCAGCTACACTTGGCTCTCTTCCTTGGCAACAGTTTGACCTGCGTGGCAGGGTCTTGTTTTGTATGAACATGCTGCATCCACGGTATCAATGCAGTCATTTGTGCTCCCTTGTCTCCTGTGTTGTTAATAAAGATTTCTGCTTCAAGTGGGCAGCCAGAACCAAGTCATTCTCTGTTGTTATTGACCCGGCTCTGCAAACAGCTGCTCTGCAGTCAGGCCGCTGGGAATGCTTTACAAGAGCCCGCTGACCACCCTGCCACAGCCTGGGCTCCGTAGTTGGAAGCTCTGCCAGCCTGGCCCTGGTGTTGGCAGATGGAGAGTTCCTGGTAGCAGGCTGTGGGAACCCTTTGGTGCCTGGGGCCCCATCGGGAGAATGAGATGTAATCAGAGCTGGGACATGTTGCTGCTAGCAACTCCTGCCAACCAAAGTGGGATACGCAGGGACCAGAGCTTGTTAAGAGGCACCAAGCTGCGGCCATGCAGAAACAGGGCTATATCTGTGTAGAACAGTCTTTTCATGACTGCTCTATGTTGTGTGTGTGTGTGTGTGTGTGTGTGTGTGTGTGTGAAAAGCACCCACACAAAAGAAGTGTTACAGCCATGTGCACAAGAGCAGGGCATCCCTAGACATTGTGATGCCCTACACATTGTGATGCCCTAGACATTGTGATGCCCAAGCCTCGGTGGGGGGGCTGCACCCAAGGTCTGTGGGGGGGGCAGGAGCAGGAGAAGGCTTGTGGGAAAACTGCCCCCCAGCACAAGCCAGCAGAGCAGAGCGGGTTGGGGCCAGGTTGCTCCACTTCCTTCCGCCCGGTGAGTGCAGGGTGCGCCTGACCCCTGCTGCAGTCCCCCGGGACATAGCTCAGGGGAAGGGGTGGAGTGGGGGCAGGGTGGGGGCAGAGCAGGGGCGGGGGCTATGGGGAAGGGGTGGAGTGGGTGCGGGGTGGGAGTGAGGGTAGCTTTCCTGGCCAGCTCAGCCGGCCGGAGGATTGGCTGGCCGCTGGAGCAGCACACAGCTGCGTAGGGCACCAGGAAATATGGGGCAATTTGGTGCCCCAAATTTCCTGGTGCCCTATGCAGCTGCGCAGTTTGTGTATGGGTAAGGACGGCCTTGCACAAGAGCATGTGTGGGACTGGGAGTATGTATATATTTGTGTGGAATTGCATGCCAAATGGGGGGAGGGGGCTCATTTCTGTCACAAGCGGCTATGTGCCCACATAACAAAATCATCGGAGTCCTATAGGATTGGCATTTCATACGCTGGAGTGAAATAGCAGGGGGTGCCGCAAGTCAGGACAGAGGTGCATTGGCAGAGGTGCTCTGAGGAAGCCTGTATAGAAAATCGGCTTAGCAGAGCCCAGCTCCATTGGAGCCTCTCTCGGTGCCACTTTCACTCGTTCGAAAATACAACAAATTGAAACCACATAGGCACAGCTAGGGCGAAAATATCTGATACATGCAGCAGAACCTTCCTCCCCCTCTGTAACAGCACAGGCTCCTTCAGAGCTACTCTGGGTTCCTGTGGGGAATGTAACTATTTTTGTCACTTTATTTCACTCCAGGGACTTGGGTGAATGTTCCCTGGGATCAGACTAGGGTTGCCAACCCTTCCAGTTTCGACGGGAGTCTCCCGGAATCACGCCCTATCTTCTGGAGGCTACTGAAGCCAAACTGGGAGATTTTAGGTGCTGAAAGTCCAGTGGTGCAGCCGGGTTAAAGCAGACTCCCTGCCTTCCCTGGCTCTGCGCCACTCCCAAAAGTGGCTGGCACGTCCCTGTGGCCCTGGGGGGGGAGGGGATGACAGGCAGTTCCCTCCCCCTTGGGGCTGCAGGGACATGCCAGCCGCTTCTGAGAGTGGCGCAGGGCCAGGGCAGACACGGAGCCTGCCTTAGCCCCGCCGACCAGGAGCTGCCAGAGATAAGCGCCTCCTGGCTGGAGCCTGCACCTTGCACCCTCTCCTGCATCCCAACCCCCTACCCCAGCCCAGAGCCCCCTCTTGCACCCAAACTCCCTCCCAGAGCCTGCACCCTGCACCCCCACCTGCATTCCAACCCCCTACCCCAGACTCAGCCAAGAGCCCCCTCCCACACTCCAAACCCCTCAGCCCCAGCCCAATGAAAGTGAGTGCGGATGGGGGAGAGTGAGCAACGGAGGGAGGGGGGATGGAGTGAGCAGGGCGGGGGCTCGTAGGGGCAGGGCTTTGAAGGGGCAGAGCAAGGGTGTTTGGATTTGTGTAATTAGAAAGTTGTCAACCCTAGATCAGACCAACATCTCTGGCAGGAGCTTTCTCCACCCCACTTATACAGAGATGGAATTGTACTACTGTTCAATGCCCAGCCTCAGAAGCCAGGCTGGGAGTGCTGAGTTTTGGCTGTGTCTGAAACAAAGATCATTGAGTCTTCTGCAAGGCCCGACTGTGGTGGGGCTGGAGACCGTAACTGGCTTGGAACCTGGAGGTAGCATGAGGGTGCTAAACTATGGCATGTTTTATAACCTTATTGGAACTTGTATCCATTAGAAACTGACAAAGTTAAACACACAGCCCTGAGGAGTGGTTACCACTATGCCATCATCAGCTGGCACGGTGTGAAGCCTGGCCGGTCCCTGTTTACAGCATCTGCAAAGTCCTGCTCAGTACTGTGTTCTAGGACATGTTCTAGTGAAGACAAGCAATTGGATAACAATCCCCACAGCTTCATCCCCTTACTAGATGCTTCCCATAGAATCATCTCTTGGGAAGAATCAACTGGTCTAAGTCCTACAGCCCTGGTTTCAGTTTGTGCAGGAGAGTGCCTCAAAACCCCAAACCTTCCCTTTCCACAGACCGCAATACCCTTACAAGGTATTCAGGGACATAACCCCCACCGATTTCTGGGCCTTAAGCACTTTTGAAAATTATGCCCATAATGCCGTCCCCTGTGCTGGTTACATGGGGGAGAGAAAACCTTCTTTCTCTGTAGCCATGTAGCAAAGTCTGGTGCAGAAGGCACAGGATTTGGGAATTAGGAAAACCTACTTCTGTTCCCAGCTCTGTCACCGACTCCTTGGTGTGGCCTGGGGACAGGGGACTTTACCTCTCTCTGCCTCAATTTCCATATCTGAGAAATGGGGAGAACCTTCCTTTCTAAAACACTGAGATCTATGGACAGAAAATACTCACAGGAGACAAGGTTTATTGTCTAATAATCAGATGCGCCACACCGCACCCCCCACCCGAATCTGTCCAACCCTAGGCCTTCACCCCTGGCAGGCAGGTACTTCCACTCTCCTGAAAGGAGTGGGGAATTCAGTCTCCCTGCTGAGGTGCTCAAGGGTGTTTTTCAGAACATGGCGCAGCAGGAGCCCAACAGCTTGTGGGATCCTTACATGTTATCATTTGCTAAGGGGCGATCATTGAATTAATTATATTTGCTCGGAGTCAGATCCAAATCTCTCTGTGGTGGGGCGTGGGAGGAAAGCTCCATCCATTATGCATGTTAAATAAAACATCACATGGATGAGAGATGATAACGGATGCAGAGCAGCAGGTTTGCCTGCTGGTCTCCTCTTAATGAGTTGAGATTGGCGCTGGACTGAAGGAGGCACAGTAGTCAGAGATGTTCAAGGGCTGGAGAGAGCAGAGCAGAGCAGACCTGCAGAAGGTGCAGTGCCACCTTTCCCCCCTGTGCAGTGCTGGACCTGGAGTGGCATGCCCCCAAGCTTTGCAGTGGCAGAAAGTGGAGTGCCTGCTCCTCCTAGCTATTACACATGAGCAGGGTTGGAAAGCAAAAGATGCTCTTTCTAGCTGTTCCAGGTGTCCAGTGGTGGAAGGCAGAGTAGCACTACTGCAGCTGCCACAGATGTGCAAGGCTGGGAGGCACAGTGGCACTACTGGCTGCAAGGCCGGTCATCATCACAGAACAACGTTTAGAATGGATTCAATTTATTGTCCAGTTCTTGACTGCTCTGTATAAAGTCATCCCAGGGATGAGTTTGGCCCACAGTCTTTATGTGAGCGACCAGAATGAGGGTTCAACTTTCACCTGATTGCATTCCTACCAAGAGCAGTTTGGGTTCCTTTCGCCAGCGCTGTTTCTGGAGCTGCCTAGTTTTCTTCTGTTATTAGTACCATGGGAAACAAGTCACCGCTGTGTGTGAGATCACACCTCGGAAGAAAGCTGCTGCTGTGAGAGGAGGCCTAGGATCAAGGGGAGTGTCAGAACTGAAGCGGGGGTAATGCTGCAGGCCTGTTTAGTGATTCATGCATGTGGACATGTGATAAAAAACCCCAACAACCAAAAAGCCCTCTCTACCACAAGCTAATCCCCCATTCCTATGCTGCTAGGAACTCAGGGGATCAGCTCCACAGGTACCGCACAAATAACGTACCAAGACTAGACTGAAGTTTGCTGCTCTCTGTTTCTCCTTCACAAGCACAACTCTTTGACCAGCAGAGAACATGGCTGCTAAGAGTTTAATACTAATGGTGGCACCCCAGAGAACAGAAGGAACTGGACCCTCATTGCTTCAACTAAAGGAGCAATGAACTCGCCATCCCTCAATGATAAAACCAACACCCGAGCGCTCACCTTACCTCACCCCTGACCTGAAGGCTAATTCTAACACAGTGCCTTGTCTGCGGCTGCTAGCTCGCTGGAAGCCTAGACTGACGAGGAGGGAAGGATCTCATTGATCCCAGATACACACTGAGCTTGGTGCAACATGAATGCCTGACTGCAGCCAACATCTAAAGAAAGGTCACTACTGTGAGCAGAGGTGCTATTACGTACACGAGTCTTGGGCAACGGTGGGGTGACTGGAGGAGTCTGCTCCAGCAGGGCCCCGATGTTGGCAAGGGCTGTTCTGTGGCTGCTTTTCTGGGAAGTACAGGGTCTTGTGAATCAGATCTTTGACAGCCGAGACATCATCTCCATCTATGAGTGAGGCAGAGAAAGAGCGGTATTACCACCAGTGAGAAGTGTTTTAGCCCCAGTAAGGTACCTAGGAGCCCCAGCTATCACCACCACGAACAGATCCTCCCATTATCCCATCCCCCTTCTCACTGCATATCTGCAGACTGTGCAATGCTCACCCACGCCCAGCTGCTGCAGAAGGTCCCTGTATTCTGGGTTGATCTCTAGTATCTTCAGCAGGTTGGTGGATTCCATTCTCTCCAGCTGCACATCCCAGTAGATGTAGATCTTCTGGTTGAAACTGACGTAAACCAGGCAGGGGCTGTTGTGGCCTCCTTTGCATGCATAGAGGCCTGAGGAAAGCCAGGGAGGGAGCCACCAGCAGTTAGTGAAGAGCAGAGGAAATGAAGAGGTAACTTGGGAAGACAAGTAAGGGGGAGGCCATGGGAGATCAGAAGGCACAGGGTGGGGTAAGGCAAACACAATGGAGTAGCCTAACTCTCCCCTCTGTGCCCAACTGTGCTGCTGATCTAAGATGGAGCAGAAAGTCTCTGGCTACCAGCTAGTACATGGGTGAGCTGAGCTGCACTTTACTGAGAGACATGGACTTTGGTGTGCAGAATTTCCCTGATGGACCCTTAGTCACATGATGGCAGGAGGAGGCTGTCTATGCAGTGCGTGCCCAAGCAATCCAGCTGTGGGCAAATGTGCCTTTAGGGGGGAACAGAGAAAACCAGTGAAAAAACTCTGATGGGACAGGGTATCACCAGCTGACTGCAGGGGACACAGCATCCACGGGGGGTCAGCAGGAGGTAAAAGTGGCACAAGGCAGCAGGAAACCTGTGCTTCATCAGGGCTGGGTCTCCTAGCATCCTTCCCTCTCACCAGGCCTCTTCCCTGCAGCAATATGAAGAGATCAGCTGGGCTTCCTACACAGTCACCCACACAGCAGGGCAGGATACAGAATCAAGGGGCTTCCGCCTCTCTCGGCGCAGCAGTGACATATTTCATAGAGCGCAGTCAGCAGCTCAGTTCACGGCCAGGGCTGTGTATCTCAGATGTAGGCACCAGGCAGGCCACTCACCAGCACAGAACGCGCTGACGTTCTCGTCCACTTGGAATCTGGCCACAGTCCGATTGTGGTCGATGATGTACGTCTGGCCATCCCAGGCGCAGGCAATCACCTCTTCATGCCCATTGCCCTGCCAGAGTCGGACAGGTGGGGGAGTGGGAGGAGCTTTGATTAGCACAGGCATCCAGAGAGATACACAGGAATCCCAGCAGCCCACAGCAAGCAGCATCCATTCCTACCCTCTGATATAACCTATGTTCAATGCAGCTTCCCAGCACACAGCTGGATAATCTCCTGATAAGGGATACAGATAATCTGTTCTCAGGGAAAAGGCATGTGGGCTCTCCCTGCGCCAGTGGCCTCTTTAGGTTCAGTCTACCCTACAATACAAACTATAGATGGGGTCAGTCTCTTCCTCCCCCGTCCCATGTGCTCTCAACCCCTCATTCTCCCACCTCAATCCTTAACAAGCATCCTGACTCCCTCCTAGTGACTGCTTCCTACTCCTTCCCCAACAAGAGCCCCAAACACTTCCCAGCTGCCTTATTCACCTACAAGCTCTCAGTCTGACCCTCCCTCTTTGGAGGATGAGAGAGTCAGGCTTTTGAGGGTTTCCAGAGAACAGGAACATAGGAATTACCATACTGGATGAGACCCAAGATCCATCTAGCCCAGTGTGCTGACTCTGACCATAGCCAGAGCCAGGTGCTGCAGAGGAAGGTGCAAGAACGCTGGAGGTAACCTGCCCCATATAGGTCTCATTCTGGTGTCTAACACTTTAAGCCCTGAGGCACAAGGTTTAATATTCCTTCCAAATGTGTGGCAACATTAATTATAACTCTGGATGCTCTTGAGAGCCACATAAATGTCCAATTGCTTTTGGAATTCTGTTAAGTTCTTGGCTTGAACAACTTCATCTGCCCGTGAGTTCCACAGTCTAATTACTCATGCTGTGAAAAAAGTGTTTCCTTTTCTCAGTTTGGAATTTCCCACATTTTAATTTAATTGACTGTCCCCGTATGTGTGTGTTATGAGACAGACACAACAGATCTACCTTCTCTAGGCTATTCATTATTTTATATACTTTCAGCATCTCCTCTCTTATCTGCCAAGGTAACAATCCCAATCTTTTAAATCTGTCTTCATAGGAGAGTTTTCTCAGGCCTTTGATTGCTCTCATCACCTTTCTCTGAACCCCCTCTAGTTCTGCACCTCCTTCTGGAGATGCGATGAAAAGTATTGCACACAATATCCACGGCAGACTGCACCACTGATTGATACACTGGCATTATAATATTATTCTTCATCCCATTCCTTATTCCGCCTAACAACAGGGAGGAAAATCATTCAACTCAGAGAACAAGGCAGGCAGCAAGGAAGGAAGAGGAAAGACTATACAGTGTAATACTGTCAGAGCCCAGCTCCTTAGCTGAGTGACTACAGTGCCTGTGGGGTTTGTGGTACAGGCTCTATTTTCTTGGGCTTTCTATGAGAACATGGGACAATCCCAGGATGCCCTGCTCTCTCTTCTGTGCGGGAGGTGGCAAAGACGCATTTCAGTGTCTCCACCCCTAGTCGCCCTCTACCAGTGCTGGTCTTTGCTCTGTTCACATTGATACTCACAGTAACATCCAATTTTTCCAGAGCAAAGAGCTGGTGATCAACCTGCACGGACCACAGCAGCTTATCCGCCCCCTCCATGAGCTTCAATGTTCCTGAAGGGAAGAAGGAGACGCTTAGACAACATCTTACCACAAAGGAGTCAGCACCCTGGATCTGCGGGGGATGTGGGGGAGGGCGTAAGCCCCTCCCCCACAGCTGTGCTGCTAGGGGTACTTTTCAGTATTTGAGTCAAACATGCTCTGGCCCTGGGGAGGAGGATGTTTGAACATGCCCAGGCCACCTCAGGAACTCCAGGCTTACTGTTTATAGCCGTGCAGACTTCAGAGCAAAGCAAGGTGAGGTGCCAACATCCCCTATCCCTATGACATGCAGCAGAGCCTGACCCTGTGAGACTATCACTGGGGCCCGTGGTGTCCCCCAGCAACGCGCTGGGCCCCATCCAGAGGCTTCCATCTGCAAACTCCCAGGGAGAAGCAGCCCTGTAGTGCAGGCTATGGTTGACACACACAGCGCTGTCTCTCATCTCCGGAAACGATGATGACCCATTAGCTTGTCAGCAGTAGCTGGAGATTCAGAGGAAAAATGGCAACAGCTCTGCTAATTGGATTGAACTCTGAGACAGCCGGGAAATGGACGGAAATGCTTTCTCAGAATAAGATACAGACACACAATGAGCCCTAACATCTCAAATCAGACACTGCTTATGCCAGAGGTTCCCCAGACGTGACTCATGGATCGCTGAGGATCTGGGGAGCTCTAGCTGGGGTCTGCAGAGAGCTGGCTGATCACGTGGAGCTGCCTCTCCTTTATATTCCCAGCTGCCAAATTACATTAAGAGAAGCTAAAACACACTTGATACTTTCCTAACATTTCTCTCCCATGTCAGCAATTGTTGTAGCTGGCACAAGGATGTTGCTAGGAGATTGTGACTCGCAGAGGAGGTGTGTCTGTGAGACAAAGCACGGAATAAACACTAATTAATCCTCACAACACCCTGTGGAGTCAGTAAGTATCACTAGCCCCATTTTACAGAGAGGGACACTGAGTCTGATGGAGGTTAAGGGAGTTGCCCACAGCTACACAAGTCAGTAGCAAAGTCAGGATTAGAACTCAGGACTATAGCATAGTCAGCATGTCTCTTCCATGACTGCTGAGCTAGGCCAGGATTTAGGGAGACCTTGCACGGTGACTTTAGGCAGTTCACCAGTCTGGGAGCTAAAGAGCCAGTGAGAATCACAGGATTCTGCCTGTATCCAAAAGCTTCAATACAGAACCCCCTCCCCTTTCTATTTATCACACCTGAATCCTGTCTCTTCTTTATCACAGGGGACATGACCAGGAAAACCTAGCTTCCAGGCCCATGCTCAATCCACTGCCAAGACTTCATTTACCTTGCTGCTTTTGGCAGCATCCCAACCACCTCAAAGGGTGTAAGGAACATGCCTCCCTGCTCTTTTCCAGAAGCTTTCAGACATGGCATTATTTGTATGGCATTTCAGCTTACTGTGCAAATGGACTTGGAGTATGCCAATGTGGTAGAAAAAGAGCCTAAAATATAAGCCCTTGTATTAGAGGCCTGGTACGAGGCCTGAGCTAAAGTAGTGGGCAAACTTCACTGATATAAAGCAAAGTTAGCAAAAGTCAGGCTGTGAGCAAATGTCAGGCACTGCCTGCTTGCAAGTTCACAAAATCTGGCAAGAACAGGGCTGATTATTGCAAAAATCGTCCCTAAAAAGTGCTAAGCACAGAGTACTTACGCAAACACATTTCAAAAAAGTGGTACCAGAACATCCCAATATTAAGGATGGTACAAAAACATTCCGCAAAAATAACAGGAACACACTGACCCCTCCTAAATAGAAGGTCAGGATAACAGTGTAGTAAATAGAAATGCATAAGGTGCTTCCTTGGTAACCGGCTACGTCAGAGGGTATCAACTAACCATGTTAAAAGGCCAATATGTAACTTGTTTATACTGATGTATAAAATGGCGTCTCAGAGGGAGTGTCTTTGGCCAGCCTAGGGGGCAGTGGAAAGTCCCGTCACTGACTGAACTGCGTCCACTGTCATGGGCATACATGTCTTAGTATCCTTGTAGAGTCTGCCAGGTGCTATTATTGTGCTTCGTCGACAATAAACTTGGCTGGGCGTCTTCGTACCTTAACGGATATTGTGGTCATTGGGCGGTTCGCTCGAGGTCTGCCATGCCAGCTGTCTAGGCAGGGCTAGGACAGCACACAAGGAAAACACAGGCATGCAGCCAAACATCTAACAACACTGGTGACCCTAACTATTAAATTCTGTTAATGATTGGAGTCTCACACAGGGAGTGTTAGAACAGTGGATTGGGAGTCAGGGGATATCTGGGTTCTTAGTCCCACCTCTTCTAAGAGCCTGCAGTTTGATTTTAGGCAAGTCACCTGCCCTCTCCAGGTCACAGTTTGCCTATTTGTGAAGTGGATTTATTACTTCCCTCCCTTGGCAGCTTTGGGTGGCTTCAGCAATTAATCTTTATAAAATGCTTTGAAATCCATGGATTCAAGGTGCCCACTAGCGAAGTGCAGACGACTGCTAGGAATAATTCATCGAGAAAAAACATTTCCGTTTCCCTGTCGAGAACAAACCCTGGAGCAAGGCCTTGATTCAGCAAGAAACTGGAGCACATGCCTAGCTTCAATGGGACTGCTCACGTGCTTAGAGTCAGCCTTGTGCTCACACACCAGGCTGAATCAGGGCTTGGCTCTCTGGTGAGGTCTCTTCTCTCAGCTCCTGCGGACACAAGAGCAAAGGCCTGTGCAGGGAGGGATAGGGGACCTCTTGCCCTCTCCTCTCCCTATAACATACCAACATGGAAGCATGTATTTGAGATGAGGACAAGGAACAATGTCAGTGCAACAACCTCGACTGCCAAATCCTCCTGCATGTCTTGAAGGCAGTGCTACTCAGACCTCAGTGGTTCAGGAGCCAAATTAGTGGTCAACATTTCCCAAACCAGCCACAGTAGTGTGAATTCATTGTATCACTTACTATAGGACTTATCATATTTAAACAGTATGATGGGGAAATATTTAGTTTATATTAATCTCACAGCAAATAAGTTAATAACTTAGCGCAAGTTGATAACTTAATTGGTTAATAACATCATTAAAGCATCCTGATTGGTTAATAATTAAATCACACAGGAGACACATGAGCCACTTGCAGCTCCTGAGTATCACTGCTCTAAGGGTACTTCAGAGGCCTGATTCCATCCCATCCCAAATCCAGTAGCACTGAGCCTCCGGTGTGCCCTTAGAACAACCCCCATGCTTCTGCTCTGGAGTGGTAACAGGCCTCAGCTACACCCGCAATCCCTTCCTTCCTCTTCCCTTGATCCAAGGGCAGTAGTGGGACTTACCGTCCAGAGTGCAGAGGGCAAAGAGGCCCGAGCCAGCATCCGCTTTAGTGCAACCTGCAGACACAGAACAGAAGCACATGTCGTTCATGCTGCTGTCTAGCCCAGATCTCAGCGGCGAGATTTGGCTGTAGCCTCCCTAATCTCTCACTGTCCGCCCACCATCCCCATCTCCTTCTCCCCCTCTAAATGGAGCACTAGGGCTGTGGTCAGGCAGGGTGTGACAAGCTAGAGGAGTCTGCTTCCCCTGCTCTCCTGGACGGGTGGGTCACTGTGGTACAATCTCCTCTGAATCTTTGGAGGGAGAGGACCAGCTGAAACAACTCAGAGGCGGAAGGGGAAAGGAAGGAGTTCAATGAATCTACCCTCCCAAGCTGGGGTTCTTTGTTGCTGTTTCTGGCCTTCTGCACGCCTCCTTTCTGCTTCCTCTCCCTGTGCTTGGCCAGTATTTTGATCTGCTATTAGACATAGTCCTGCCCACTCCTAGCCACTGGTCACAAGGCCCAGAGAAGAAGCCTGGATTGGCATCTCTTCTCCCCCCTGCCCCCCCAATGAGGGAGTGCTTCCCTCCTGGCCTGTCTCCCACTGAAGGGCTCTGTGACAGCAGCAGTTTCAGGAGGAACCTTTTAATGTTCTCCACCCCCTTCAGCTGCAGTTGCTACCCAAAACCCACAGAGGGGAGGCTTAGGGTGGTCAGGGCCCAAAGAGCCCACCTTGACTCTCTCCCTCCATATCCCCCCAGAATTGTGACTTAACAACTTGAGCTGGAGATTGCCCCGAGTTAAAGGGCCAGCATCAAGCTAACAACAGCGAGTCTGACTCTGCTCTCACTGACGCTGTGTAAATCAGGACTACTGAATGTTGCTCTACAATTCCATCGCCAACCCACACACGTGGCAGTCTTTGGACAGCGACTGGGAGGTGGAATAGCACTGGTGTTGCAGGAGGGACTGAAGGTATCTAGCCTGAGATGTTAGGAGACATTTCTGCCCAGCCTTGAAACTTTGCCTAATGGTTATTTACCACTTTCACCATCTTGTTACTATCCTATTTTCTGCATCACTTTCCTTCCCCCGTAGGGCACGCTTGGCTATTACCAAGCAATGAATTTTTAACATCTAGTTTACATGTAAGTGGGACTGGCTGGTTTCGCCCACTGATCCTAGGATCCCCCATGTAATGTGAGCTGCAGCTGCAGGCCCATGGGTGCTGTGGTTTAATTGCCTCTTTTACACCCCCTTGATTCTCCAGAGATGCACAAGTGCAGGCAGCAGCTCCGCTGGGGAGCAGGAGAGGCCTTGCAACTAGACCTCCTCTCCCCTCTGTCCTTGCCCTTGAACTCATCCTGGTGCTGCTGCTGGGGGCACGTGGGGAGCTCCACAAGATGGAACAGGATCAGCTGGCTGTATGGGAAAGTGAGCACAAAGCACTCCCGAAGGCAAACGTTGAGCAAATCTGCAGAGGAAAGCTGTCCCTCTGGAAGAGCTCTCAGTCCCATGCCCCTGCCACGTTCCCCCCAAGTCTGCACTAGTGCAACACTCTGCAAAGCAGCCTTGCCTCCTCCTGACAAGCACTGTCTGGCTGCTTGGGAGCCCCACTTTACCGGCTGATGGGCTGTATGGACACAGATGCTCAGTGGCTTTCACATACTGTGCCCATGATAAACAAAGACAAACACAGCACCATTCCCATCATCTGCAGGCCAGGCAATACTTCTATTTTTAAAAGGCAATGCCAGGAGGACAGCATGAAAAGGGGCATATGTCTCTCCAGGGGCCATACAGAGGGGCAGCCACGGAGACCGGCACTGTTAAATACTGTAAGTGAGTGGGGTCCCTTGGGAGACATCTACACAGCGAAAAAATATCCGCAGGAGCAAGTCTCAGAGCCTGGATGAATGGACTCGGGCTTGCAGGGTTTGCACTACGGGGCTAAAAATAGATGTGTTGAAGTTTGGGCTCTGAAACCCAGTGAGGGACAAGGTCTCAGAGCCTGGACTCCAGCCTGAGCCCGGATGTCTACACATCTATTTTTAGCCCCATAGCGTGAGCCCGAGTCAGCTGACTTGGGCTCTAAGATGCGCTGCCGTGGGGTTTTTTTGCTGTGTAAATGTACCCTTGGAGACCAGCTCTGCTGTTGGGATTACACCAGCCACTTACACTATCTTAACCCAGCCATCCAGCTGGAGAGGAAGTGCAGGGCAGTTTGCTAACGATGCCCATTTTGACTCAGCCACCTTCCTTCTGCAGCTCATATCTTGTCTCGTGGATCCAACCGGTGTAACTGCAAAGCCACCTACTGTGCGCATGGGGAGAATCATCCTAGAAGGTTGCGCAATTGCCTAGTGATTGAGGTTTAACACCCACTTTACAGAGGAGCAGCTGCCTACACAAGGAGCAACTGTGGAGCACCCAGCCCTCACCTTTTAGACAGTATTGCTTTCTGGTTCTCCCAGCCTGGCACAATGCTGTTTTGTCTGGGTGTCTAGTGCAGTAGGAGGCTGCTTACATCCAAAAACCAAGTTGTCATTGAAAAGACAGTAACAGGAGAAACCCGAGTACCCGGAGGACCTGGGGGACACAGGCAACCTTCTGATAAGCAGGGTCCAGCTGACTGGGGGACTGGCTAGTGATTACTGCGCAGATTAAGCAGCCCTGTCCCTCTTCCCTCAGCCACCGGGCAGCTACACAGTAACACAGCTTCACTGTGGGAGATCAGGACACCGAACTGCAGCACCTTTGCTGGCAAGCCTGGGGGTAGGGGTGGGTGTTAGCTAACCCCCCCTCACCCACACTCACACACCCAGCAGGGAGACAGGACTCTCTTTTGGGCAACAGCTCGTGTCAGGTAAGCAACATTCTCATGTACAGTCACATCAGGGTTTCTAAAGTGACACTGAAAGCCAGTTAGGGATGGACGCTGAGACATGTAGTGACAGAAACCACTTTCTGAACCCCCTTTACAAAACCTAGGTCCTTAGCCCTCAGCAGCTGGCACTGCTCTGACAGCAGGGATTCTTGTCTCCCCTTGTTCTGCACGTCTCCCTTTGCCAGCAGGCTCCGCAATCAGTATGAGGTCCGGGGCTTTGCACGCAGTGAAATAACTGATTTCACGGCCTGGCGCTCCCAGTGCTTGGAGCAGCGTTTGAAATGCTGAGAACGTGACAGGCCGAATGGGAGCCCTGCGTGCTGAGATCAGGGAAGGTTTGGTGCTGAGGATCCAGGCACCCCTCACCGCTCCAGCTCCACAAAACACCCCACGCCTTCCTCAGACAGCACAGCTGGGGGGAACCCGCTCCCTCCTGCACAGGGCAAGCGCAGCAGCAGAGAAAAAGAGAATGTGACTTGCCCTGACAATGAATGCCTCCTCGAGCACGGCCCTCGTGAAAGAGGGAGTCTAGGAGGGAGTCTTGGCCAGCTCTGCTAGGCTGGTGTCTAGGAGGGCGAGCCGAGGAACAACCTACAGAGCGTGCAGGAAGTGGGGTTCGGGTAAAGGGGGATGAGGGCTCTGGCTGGGGATGCGGGCTCTGGGGTGGGGCTGGGAATGAGGGGGTTGGGGTGCAGGAGGGTGCTCAGGGCTGGGATTGAGGGGTTTGGAGAGCATGAGGGGGATCAGGGCTGGGGCAGAGGGTTAGGGAGAGGCTCAGGGGGTGCACGCTCCAGGCGATACTTACCTCAAGCGGCTCCTGGAAGCAGCGGCATGTCCCTTCTCTGCCTCCTATGTGGAGGCATGGCCAGGCGGCTCTGAGCACTGCCCCATCCTCAGGCGCCACCGATGCAGCTCCCATTGGCTGTGGTTCCCGGCCAACGAGAGCTGCAGGGGCAGCGGCAGCGTGCAGAGTGGAGCCCCCCCAGCTGCCCCTACGTGTAGGAGCCGGAGCGGGACCATGCTGTTGCTTCCAGGAGCCATGTAGCACGGCCCCCAACCCTGCTCCCCGGCTGGAGCGGGACAAGCCCCAGACCCTGCTCCCCAGCGGGAGCTCAAGGGTCGGATTAAAATGGCTGGTGGGCCGGATCCGGCCCTCGGGCCATAGTTTGCCCATCCCTGGTCTAATTCAAATTGTTCAGCTATCCTAACGTCCTGGGGCCAGTCCGTAATTTGGGAGCTGGCTAGTATGGGCCAGGCTTCTCTCCATTTTTGTGGCCACCTGCTAGGTATTCACCTCCAGGAATCTGATTTTCTCCTGGATTTATTTATTTAGTTATGTGACATCCCCATCCTCCAACCGAATCCGACAGAATCGACAGCTGGGAGTTTATGATCTCGGCCCTGTACACTGCTGCAGGCTTTGCCTCTGCCTCTTACCTCGGCCAATGCTGCCAATTAGATGAGTGGAAACGTTTTTGTTATGAATCCTGCCAGATGTCTGGTGAAGGATAACATCCCGAACGGGGGCCTCCCTAGGGAGAGACAGAGGGGAAAGGTTTAGGGAGAGACAGAGGGGAAAGGTTTAGGGAG